AACAAGTATCCCTACGCCGCAACAAAAAAGTCATAAAGCGCGAATTTCAGGTTGGCAACCTAGTCTTGCAAAGAAACCAGAAGGATTCCCGTGAAGGGAAGCTGGGCACAAACTGGGAGGGGCCTTACCGCGTCCAAGGAGCTACGGGAACCAGAGCATATTACCTCAAGCAATTGAACGGAGAACCACTACCTCGACCCTAGAATGATGCGAAGCTAAAACAATATTATATCTAAGTCCCTCACCTACTGAGGACTTTTCCCGTTGAATATTCCTTTTCAACCGACGAAGGAAAAATCTTGACCACGTAGGCGCGTCGAGGTACGAACCCGACCTACCAACTAAAAAAAATCAGGATGTCATTCATTTCGACGAGCACTATCCTAGCCCGACAGGGACACCTCGATCGAGCTCTGCTGTCGAAGTACCCCAACATGGCAGAACACCCATCTCGCGATGGGCAGTTCGCGCCATGAGCGTAGGATCCCGACCGCGATCCTACGCTCGTCCCGCGGATCCCCACTCCGTGCCCTCGACACATTTCGACATGTGTCAAACTAATATTAGGGTCGAGGACATATCTCCACATGGAAAACACGAACTTCATGGAAAATTCATAACGACCACAATAATGGTCGAGCATGTATTTCCACACAAAATATATATAAGTATTCATGAAATAACCAAGTCAAAAACAACGACAAACAAAAATAACAATAAGCACCAAATAAAGCGAAATAATTATCAAAGGTGACCACTTGGGTCGAAGATGTTTGAATATTACAAATATTACGGGCACGCAGGCCCAAATATAAATAAGATGAAAAAACAAGTGTCAATCGCTCCCCGGAGTGCTAACTTCAACGTCAAGAGAGTCAGGAGGAGAAACCACCCGGCTATCAACAACCTGGTATAGAACCCCTGTTCCTTCAGTGTTTAACCCCGGGTTCAACACGGATAGCTGATTCACAGCAGATTCCAAGTTGTCGGTTAAGGCCTCAACGCAATCTGACTCTAGGAGTTGAACCGAGCAATGAAATCAGCACGCGTGCGTAAATCGGCTCCCCCCTCAGGCTCATCCTCCATCGGAATCATAACACCCTTCAGATTTGCAACCTTCCTCACCAGCCATTGGTTATCACTCTCCAACTGTTCCTTATCGAGCTGGAGGCATTCTTTGTCTTCGAGGGCTTTCTCGGCTCTTTCCTTCTCCCCCGCCAGCACGTTAGACTGCTCACGAAATATCTACTCGCTTCGTTCAAGAGCGGTTTTTAGCTTGCAAGTTTTTATCACAAGAGTCGCCTTCTCCGACTCTAGTTCCTTGACCCGATCAGAGGAGTCCGACCCTTCTCCCGCCAGGACAACGACCATCTCTGCCATCTTCACCACCCCAACCATGCTGGCAGCGAGGTGCTTTCTTCGGCCTTCCTTATCGAGCCGCCTGATGATGTCGGACTCTTTATCGGACACGGTCAAGGGAAAACCCTCGAAGAAGTCTTTTTCCACAAAGCAGGGTGGTAGGCTGAAGGCCCGGGAACCCGCCCCTCTGTCAGTTACATCAGCATGTCCACCTTCTGGACGACTCCGCTTCTTGCTCAACAACACGGCTTGAAGCTCGGTGTCGCGAGAACTCGAGGACCCACTAGATCCTTCCCTTACCGGCTCGGGGGTTGGACCCATGCGCGTAGCTTGCTGCGGTTTCACCAACCTCTTGTTACTCTTCTTCAGCTGGGTCAACTTCAGCAATCTCTCACGGCGCTCCGCCATGTGACCTGCAAAAACAAAGAAAATGTTCTCGGGTCAGCTTCATCGAAGAAACAAAAGAAGGCAAGCAACATAGTAAAAGTAAGCAGGAAACCTAAGAGATCTACGGCCTTCCCGTAAGATTGATACTCGACGAGCGCCTTGGTATTGATCGGACGTGCCTCGAACGTTGGCTCGCCGTCTTCATCAAGGAATTTGTGTCCTTCCCTCGTAACCCACCTGGAAGGGAAGAAACCGCCGAAGAATCGATTGAGGACGCCATATGCCTCCTCGTCCTTGACGCTCATACGTTGGCGGAAGTGTGGTAATATCCGGGACCGTGGTCGTAGTAGGCCGAGCACCAGTAGATGGGAAACTTTGAGATTCTCCCAATCTCAGGATTACCCTCGGCGTCCAAGCACGGCTCCCCATCCTCATCCATAATGGTAGCCAGGTCAAACATGGAATCAAGGTTGTTTGGGTAGATGGTTGCAAGATATACCACTTATCCTTAAAGTCCCAGACAAAATCCATGTACATCCTAAACAGCCTCTTCGATTGTTTAAGGGATACCCAGCTATGTTTCCCTCCTCGGGACTGCCGTTGCAAGTGAAAAACCCTGAAGAATAAGGGAATGGTCGCCCTAATCCTCAAGAACCGACACATAAGTTTGAATTCCTGGATAAAGGCAATCGCGTTGGGATGAAGCTGCGAGGGCGCCAATTTCAAATGATTGAACACACCCATCTGGAAGTATTTAAAAGGAAGCCGAAGTCCAAGGTATTTGAACACGACCTCATACATAGGGAAGGCATCTCGGGTGAACTCTGAGCATATGCGAGCGTCTTGCGCAAGCCTCGTGATTTTGAAGTTTCTTTGAAAACCCTCCTGGCTGCCGCCATACTCGACGACTGTATAGGCTTGCCTCCCGGTGTAACTATAGATCGAGGCTATCCCTCGGGGTTCCGCACCAACCCAATCTAGAGTAGGATCGTCAACGGTGTCAACCAGATTGACGCTCTCCTCGGATGCGTTGGTTCCTTCGGTGTCCATATGCTCCGATGACTCGGGAGTATCGGCCATTTACCTGCAAAGCACATGAAATTGGTGAATTCGACAACAAATCCACCTTTCCACGACGCAGATTAAGAGGCTAAGCAATACCAGACCAAGTCGAAGACCATTCGCATAAAAGGGGAAATACGTGGACCTCGACCGGTCCATGAAAATCATGTCGACCCTCTAAGATCACACAACGATCCTAATAACGAATGCCAGTTTTTCATAAATATACCAGACACGGGAAGAATATGGCGAGCAGACTATGAATCTCACGACCAAGCTCATAAATTTGTTAGCCAAACATATGGAGATCACGGGGAAGACTAACCTAAGTACTGACGAAAGGATGAATATCACGGGCATAATCATAAATCATACGCCTAAACGCATGAATATCACGGGCATAATCATAAGTCATACACCTAAAGGCATGAATTCCCCGGGCGGAACCCCCCAGATGCGAAATCATTCTACTAAACATCATCAAAATCTATTTATACACAAGATATCAAGGAAAAAGAATGCTTGCTTGAAGAATAGATGAAGAACGACGATGGTTGAGGAAGAGTACGCGGTGGATTGTGCGGCGGTTTCAAGGATTCTGGAAAAAGGGCACGGTGTTAACAGCGGAAAAAGTGGAGAGCGCGAAAATACGAAAGTAAATTATGAGCCCTGTAGCCCTATTTATAGAGCTGGCGTGGAATGTGAAACGTCGCGTCAGGCAGCTCACAAGCCGTATTTCTCCTCGACACCTATGTGTACAGGCAATGATGGCCCCTACTCCCTAGGTCATCATCACTGTTCCCAAGAGCCACGCCACGTGTCTAACAAGTGTATCATCTTCTCCCTGCGAGTCCTCCTCGATCACGCTCCGACCGCTGCTCGAAGCAAAATCATGAACCGACGATGTTCTCCGTCCACGGTATAAAAACTCTGTGTCGAGCAGCTCACCTCGCAAAAGGAAAAACTAGGATTAAGTCATGACTCATTCATCAGGAGTAATGACTTGGGGGGATCCTGTTCTGGACAGGGCCTGCCCTTGGCCCAACTCCCAGTGAGGCCCAATCCAAGTATGCCAACCTGCACCACTGACCGGTTCTACCCTCGAACACGGAGGGAAACTACCACCCTTTTCCCACGAGGAGACAACCTCACCACGCGGGGACAACGTCCCGAATAGACTGAGGACGGTCACCTTCGACCATGAAGGTTTCGAGGACACCTCAACTAGCTCGTCGACCAAGACTGGTCCCCTATTAACATCGCGTATGGCGGGGATCACCCATGACGAGCAGGCGCTCCTCCCGAGCATCCTCCTTGTAGGGCTGACTACCAACGTCTCCTAATATTACGGAGTCTTCGTGGTCCCGGAAAGATCACATCCATATCCTCCTGACCTTGCGGAGGACGTCATCCAGGTAGGGAATCATATGCGGGTCCCCACTATTCACGTAGGACTTGGCGGTCTCTACGTTGGGCCGGCTTGATCAACCCAATAAAGAGACCTTGGCCCAGCGCTGGGAGCTATAAATACCATCTCTTTCGAGAGAGTCGGGTATTTAACACTTTCTAACTCTCACGCTTGTTTGCTTATTCTGCAACTTACTTTGGCATCGGAGTGTCTTGCAGATAACCTCCATCTCACTCAACTTCTGCTCGAACTAGCCGTGACGATCTATTCTGACGAGGTACAATCACTAATATTAATCAAATATTAAAGAAATAATAAAATAATTAATTAATAAAAACTAAAACGAAAATCTAGGAAGAGGCGTATGTAGAAACACCAGGGGTATTGCTAATTGGAATGTTTCATGAGCTTAAACTTATACAACTTAATGATTATAATTTACTAAAAAAAAAATTAATTAAACTAAAGAATTAATAATAAAAAAATAAAATAGATGAGTAACAATAAAGACTAGTGGGACCAAATAAAATAGAGTTTTTTTCTTTTACTATCCATAAAATCCTACCACCCATAAATAAATAAAAACAAAATAATACAAGTAGTATAACACCAGAAAACAAATTCAAGAAAGATCCACAGAAACACACATAAATCAAACTAAAAAAATCATCTGTCTCAACCTCTAAAATTCATGATTCAAACAACCAAACAATTCTCACACGAATCTCTCGGAAGTAACAAAAACAATCAAAGAAGAAAAAAGAGAAAAACGTAGCGGAGGGAATTATTGGCGGGTTTCTTCTACGGCGGATTCGTCGGTGAGTGCGATTTTAGAGCAGCGTCGTGGTGCAGAGCGGATCTGCAGCGCAGAGGTTGTGTGGCTGAAGTGTCGGAGTTTCGCGATGATGATGGCCTGGCTCTTGATTTTGGTCCCAAAATTCTTTGATTTTCTTTCTTTCATTTTTGATTCAAACATGCGATCAATAGAAAAAATAGATTTCCTATAATTGATTATTTATTTGGTTTATTGTTCTGATATTGTTCTTGATTTTGAATTCGATTCCTTATTGTTGTGAGTTTGATTAAAGGAAGGTTTATGTACTGATTTTGAAAAGATTGCAATGAGTTTGTTTATCGTGAAAAAAGAGGGTGATAATCTTTGTGGCGAAGAATGATAATGGTTTGACTCCAAGAAGAAAAAAAAGAGATTTCGTAAAAATAAACAGTAAAAATATTACTGTACTTGTGGTATGCTTTTGTGCACCGTGAATGATTGTGTATTTATGGTGAATGAAGAAAAAATTGGCCTCTAGTAAAATTGTTAGTAGTATAATATAGTTTTATAATATAATTTGAAAGAAAAAATCGTCATCGGAGAATTATCATTTGGTTTAACAATTGAACAAGTAAAAACTAAATACAGATTAAATTGAAAATAAAATTGGAGAGTCTCATATTTTAATCATCGGTCAAAGAAAAGAGGTTTTGAAAAACAAGTGTGAGAATGAAAGAGTAGAGAATTGAAATTGGTGAATTGTGAGAATTGTGTGTCTTGTGTAATTTGTTGATGATAGTTGATAAAAATGTTGAAAAAGTCATGAAAATCTTAAACACCACAAATTATTAATGAAGAAGTTATTATAAGAAATAAAACTGATGTTTTGGAGAAAAGCATGCAGAGTGCTACATTGTTTTTCTTTACTTACTATAAGTTAAGGCAAATGCATAAACAATAAATATTCTAATATTAATAGTCTTTTCATTGTGTATTTTATCTTTCATAAATAAAGTTTGCAGTTGCTATATCAACTTGTATGGTTATTATTTCATATTTTATACCGCTTTCTACGAATCTGAACATGGAGAAATTTTGTGTAGTTTCCAAAAAACTGGTATCAGAGCCGGTTGATTTTTTCCGTTTCATAAGCGATCCATAGGAGTCAGACTTGAGTGGGAGCGATGGCAGCAGACGAAGGAAAGGTGAAAATTGAGAAGTTCGACGATGCGGACCTCGGCTTTTGAAAGATGCAAATAGAAGATTATTTGTATCAAAAGGAAATGCATGAACTTCTCACGGACACGAAACCAACGACAATGGACGACAATTCCTAGACCCTTCTCGATAGAAAAGCTCTTGGAGTCATTCGATTGACGTTATCCCGTAATGTTGCTTTCAACATTGCAAAAGAAAAGACAACAGTTGATCTTATGAAGGCTCTTTCCAGTATGTACGAAAAGTCGTCGGCCTCAAACAAAGTTCACTTGATGAGGCGATTGTTCAACTTACGGATGACAGAAGGTGCGTCAACAACGCAACATCTGAACGAACTCAACATTGTTACAACCCAATTAAATTTAGTTGGAATCGACTTTGATGAAGAAGTACGGGCTTTGATACTCTTGTCTTCCCTGCCTGAAAGTTGGAATGCTACAGTCACAGCCGTGAGTAGCTCATCGGGAAGCAACAAGTTGAAATTTGATGATGTTCGTGATTTGGTTCTCAGTGAAGAGATCCGGCGGAGAGAGTCGGATGAATCGTCAACCTCTTTAGTATTGCATACAGAGCCAAGAGGAAGAAGTTCAACCAGAGGAAGCGGACGAGGAAAATCAAAAGTGAGACGATCAAAGTCCATAAATCATCATACTTCTAACAGCTCGAAGACTATTGAGTGTTGGAATTGCGGGAAGACCGGACACTACAGAAATCAGTGTAGGAGTGCATTGAAGAATCAGGAGGCGAAAGATGAGGCAAACATTGCTTCAACCTCAGGAGGAGGTGATGCATTTATATGTTCTTTGGGGAGCAAGGAAGAGTCTTGGGTGTTAGACTCTGGAGCATCCTTTCACGCAACTTCACAGAAACAGTTCTTCGAAAATTATGTCCCCGGGAACCTCGGTAAAGTATACCTTGGTAATGAACAATCTTGTGAGATTGTGGGAAAAGGTTTAGTGAAGATTAAGTTGAACGGGTCTGTTTAGGAGCTGAAGAATGTCAGACACATTCCTGACCTGACGAAGAACTTAATCTCAGTAGGCCAATAGGCCAGTGATGGCTACACAATAATCTTCGATGGAGATCATTGGAATATTTCTAAAGGTGTAATGATAGTTGCTCGCGGTAAAAATAGCGGTACTCTTTATAAGACAGCTAGAGCATTTTATTTGATTGCAGTTGCAGTAAATGAAAGTCCCAATCAATGGCACCAAAGACTAGGCCATATGAGTGAGAAAGGAATGAAGGTCATGCACTTAAATGGAAAACTACCAGGTCTTCAGTTAATAGAAATTGACTTGTGCGAAGAATGTATACTTGGAAAGCAGAAGAGAGTTAGCTTTCAGACAAGTAGGAGAACCCCAAAGAAGGAGAAACTCGATCTTGTCCACTCTGATGTTTGGGGTCCAACTACTGTCTCATCTATTGGTGGGAAGAAATACTTTGTGACTTTTATTGGTGATCATTCTAGAAAGGTATGGGTATACTTTCTGAAAGATAAGTCTGACGTATTCGAGGCTTTCAAGGTGTGGAAAGCCATGGTAGAAAATGAGACCAGATTGAAGATAAAAAAGCTCCGAACCAAAAATGGTGGTGAGTATGAAGACACCAGATTCAAGAAGTTCTGCTATGAACACGGGGTCATAATGGAGAGGACCGTGCCAGGTATGCCTCAACACAATGGCGTAGCTGAGCGTATGAGCCGGACATTGACAGAAAGAGCTAGAAGCTTGCATGTTCAATCAGGCCTACCATAGAAATTATGGGAAGAAGCAATCAATACATCAACTTACTTAATCAACTGAGGTCCATCAGTACCATTAGAGCAGAGAATACCATAAGAGGTATGAAGCGGAAAAGAGGTAAAACTCTCACATCTTAGAGTTTTTGGTTGTGTAGCATATGTGCATATTATTGATCATGGCAGGAATAAGCTTGATCCCAATACAAAGAAGTGCACTTTCATCGGTTATGGTGAGGATGAGTTTGGCTATCGCCTATGGGATGATGAAAACAAAAGGATGATCCGCAATAGAGATGTGATCTTCAATGAAAGAGTTATGTACAAGGACAAACAGAATATAGGTGCTAGCAACTCAGATTTGAGTGGGCCAGTTTATGCAGAAGTGGATGATGTCCCAGAAAGTCCTATAGTTGATAACCCTAAGCTAGAGGAAACAACTGAACAAAGCGGTGAGCAACTGCCTGACATATCAGAACCTCCGACTCCAACTCCTGTATTGAGAAGATCTTCTAGAACTCGTGTTCCTAACATGAGATACATGGACTATATGTTATTGACAGATGAAGGGGAACCTGAAGATTATGCAGAAGCATGTCAGATCACAGATGCTAGCAAATGGGAACTTGCTATGAAAGACGAGATAAAGTCTTTGATCTCCAATCAGACATGGGAAATTTTTGAGTTACCAATGGGAAAAAGGTAACTTCACAACAAATGGGTGTATTGGGTCAAGGAGGACCATGATGGATCTAAGAGATACAAGGCTCGATTAGTTGTCAAAGGATTTCAGCAAAAAGAAGGAGTTGACTACACTGAAATCTTTGCTCCAGTTGTGAAGCTCAATACTATCAGGTATGTGTTAAGTATTGTTGCCAGTGAAGAGCTCTACCTAGAGCAATTAGATGTGAATATCGCCTTTATTCACGGAGAATTAGATGAGGAGATCTACATGCATCAACCAGAAGGTTTCTCAGAAGAAGGGAAACTGAAAATGGTGTGCAGATTAAAGAAGAGCTTGTATGGTCTAAAACAAGCTCCAAGACAATGGTATAGGAAGTTTGAAAGCTTCATGCACAAGGAAGGTTTCCAGAAGTGCAATGCCAATCACTATTGTTTCTTCAAGAGGTATCATTCCAGTTATATCATCTTGCTACTTTAGGTCGATGATATGTTAGTAGCAGGTCCAGATATGGATGAAATTAGAAACTTGAAGATACAATTGTCAAAAGAATTTGACATGAAGGACTTGGATCCAACAAAGAAGATTCTTGGAATGCAAATCACAAGAGATAAGCAAAGAGGAATTTTGCAGTTATCTCAGGAAGAGTACATTAACCGTGTTTTGAAAAGATTCAACATGGACAATGCCAAACCAGTTAGCACACCTTTAGCTAGTCATTTTCACTTATCAAAGGACCCGACCCAGGAGACGAAGGAAGAAAAAGAATTGATGGCTAGTATTCCGTATGCTTCGGCCATTGGAAGTTTGATGTACACAATGGTATGCACGAGACCAGATATTGGCCATGCAGTGGGAGTTGTAAGCAAGTTTATGTCAAATCCAGATAAAGCTCATTGGGAAGCTCTGAAATGGATTTTGAGGTATCTACGAGGCACTAAGGAGAAATGTTTATTCTTTAGTAAAGGTGAATTAAAAGTACAGGGCTATGTAGATGCGGACTTTACTGGTGAAGTTGATCACCAAAGAAGTACCACCAGTTACCTATTTACAGTTGGTACTACAGCCGTTAGTTGGATGTTACGGATACAAAATATCGTTGCTATATCCACTACTGAGGCTGAGTATGTAGAAATAACAGAAGCTAGCAAAGAGTTGATATGGCTTCAAGGATTATTGACAGAGTTGGGATTCATCCAAGAGAGGAGTGTTTTGCACAGCGACAGTCAGAGTGCAATACATCTGGCTAAGAATTCAGCATTCCACTCCAGAACGAAGCACATTGATCTCCGTTATCACTTCATCAGATCTTTGCTTGAAGATGAGGTACTAACATTGAGGAAAATTCTCGGAAGTAAGAACCCAACAAATATGTTGACAAAGGTGGTGACTACTGATAAACTGAAGTTGTGTTCAACTTCAGTTGGCCTGCTATAATAACATACCAGAGAAGGGTGTTGCATGATCGAGGTGTGAAGATCGGCTGAAGTCAATCTTCAAGTGGGACATTGTTGAAAAAGTCATGAAAATCTTAAACACCACCAGTTATTAACAAAGAAG